ATTCGAATAGAGCAGCTTTATTGAGAACATCTACATCATTCTGTGAAAAAAAACTGCGAAACTGAAGAAATTGCGAAGAGTAGTGCAGAGATAGTAAGCGATCATCAACGAGAATTTACAGTAAGCCAGGATCATAAGTTTTACGAGGATATGCTCATGAGTGAAATTATCACAGTTACGTTACGTTCCAACTCATTCAGTACCAAGCAGGACGTAAACGGAGGGGCGTTGTAACAATGTGGTGTGGTTTTTGTAGAACACACCCATCGAAATCGAACCCCCCGCTTCATTTCTGCTCTACTGGGTTTAGAATGGATTCCCATTCTGAGCAAGAAAAAAGGAAATATACATGAGCACTTCTTGATAACTATGTGTGGGAGCGAACTGATGGTTGTCATGTTGTGTACAACGTAGGAAATGCTGGAACCAGTACATGTTCAGTGAGTTCAGAGCTGTTAGAATGCAGTTCGAAGGAGGTGACGTTCACATGCCTCTGTGACTACACGATGAAATCAGAAAGGAGAACATTAACATATGAAATTGCCTATTTGAAAGTTGCGTATGGATGCGACAATGATGAATGGGCACTTTAATTGAAGCGAATAAGATTTCAGAAGCAATGATAGCTATACAGATCCCTATAGTGTCTATATCTATCTATATCCATAGGGGATTATTCGAGACATTCTGCAAAAGGAGGGGCGGGCCACTCGTCCTCGAGTAGGTTCAGGCTTCGCGATGACGCGCGTCGACGCGGTGTCACGCGCGCCGATGCGCTGTCACGCGCGCCGATGCGCTGTCACGCGCGCCGATGCGCTGTCACGCGCGCCGATGCGCTGTCACGCGCGCCGATGCGCTGTCACGCGCGCCGATGCGCTGTCACGCGCGCCGATGCGCTGACATTCCAGTGGCGTTGCAGTGCTATAGACGGAACGCGGTCGCAGCAAGGTATCGATCGGAGTTGGACGCTAGTGTTTTGGGAGAGTATAGGAGAGAACGAGCGTAACAGACTGTGTGAAGC